CTTATTTAAGATGAGCCTCATCTGAAGTAGTACATCAGATGGAGTGGAATTGCCTGTGGACTCTGTTGTTACTAAACCTGTGAATGTTTTATTGTCCAGGCAAGAGTTAGGTTTGTTTCAGTGAGCGCTTATTTCCTATGTGAAAAGGTATGATCAAAAGTGATCAAAGGGATCAAAAGAGGTTATCAAATCATGCAGAACTGAAAGGCTCTCCAGTTCTGCCATGTATTTTTTTCATCTGTGGGCTGGAATCATTCAGTCTTGTCTTGTAAAAGGTTTCTCTTTAGCTCTCTGGATTGCATACAGAACACATGCCTGACAGGACACTAGCACTGTGGATTTTTGTTGGATAATATTAAGATTTAATGCCATTTTCTCTTCTAAATGCAAACTAGAGGCTCTGCGTTGTTGCTGCTATCAAGTTCTGAATTTTCGTATTCTCCATATGGCAGTAACCTCAGGGGTTTGATTGACTTTCAAGAACTGATCACAATGGATAGCCCGTGACAATAAATTTCATTCCATCATCAGGAGCAAAACTGGTTTATTTTTGTGAATTACTGGAACTGGACTGGAAAAGCAGCTCTAACACAAGCAAATGTTTCCATTTGTAGCTATGCCTGCCATGGATGTATTTAATGGGTATTTACACTCACCTAAATTTCCTAAGTATTGTATGTTTTTGACCATGAATTGAGTAATCATTCTATAAAGTTACTTCACAGAACTGCCTAGTGAACTGTGCATGTTGATGTGCTTTCACTTTTAATGTATGAATTACTTGTCTTGTTCATGTCAATACAGCCTCAGCATCCGCGTGGGGGAACACCAACGTTCCCAGATTCACAGATATTTTTCCCAACCGTTCATGAACGGCCGGTGTCTTTCTCACCACCACCTGTCTGCCCGCCGAAGGTGGCAGTTGCTCAGCGGCGCAAGAGCACTTCATTTTTGGAAGCCCAAACTTGCCACTTCCAGCCATTGCTGAAGACTGGCCAGAGTTTAGTTCCACCTGGTGGTAGCCCCACCAATTGGACACCAGAGGCATTCGTTATGCTGGGTACAGCAGCTCAGAGAGTCGCTGGAGAGCCTCTGCATGTGCAAGTTAATCCCGTGTTTGAGCCAGCTCCTGTACACAGTGACTATAGATCTGGACCAACACCTCCAGAGGATGCTCACTACAGAATGCATCCAGAAGCTGTATATTTGGTGGGCATGCACTATCCATCACAGGTATCGGAGCAGTATGATCAAGTAGCTTATAATTCTCATGCGACTGAACAACATTTGAAGCAGGTCTCAGAGTCAAACCATGGGCAAGGTGGTCCTCCACAAAGCTCTGTGTTCGACTTTCAATCGGGGCAAACGTACCTGGCAAGACATGTTCAGAACCTAAGGCTGGATTCTGGGATGGGTCCCCTTTCTCCATTATCCAGTGTTTCAGCTCCTCTGAGTGCAGATCCTGCTCAGATGATGTTCCACCAGGTATTTGTTCCACACTCTGCCCCGGCTGTGCTCTCTCACAGTGGTGATGGCAGAGCGAGCTGTGTCTTTGAGTTCCATGTGCACACACCGACTTCTGCTCCAGCAGAAGGGGCAGTTTTACCCCAGCGGGTCTACAGAAGTCGCCGGGGCTCTATGGAGACCAGTCAAGAGGAATCCACTCAAGGCATAGGGTCGCATGGTCGGCTTCAGCCTGTGACAGAGGAGCAGTGTAACTATCTTGGTCCTGAGGTAGCAGGTCCCAGAGGGGGCTCTGCCAGGCGGAGCTGGCCGGAAGGAAGCCCGGAATACTCCAGTGATTCCTCACAGCTGACTTCCTCTGATACTGGCGATTTCCAGTCTCCTCCCCCTACAGGGGGGTCATCTTCTGCTTTTGGTTCAGACTTCTCATTGCCCATTGTTCAGCTGCCTCAGAAGGTATTGCAAGAGTCGCAGCTCTTCATCTGCTTCCCGCAGGGAGCCTCAACTCAGCAGGCCTTGTCCACCTCGCTTCCATCAGGACCACCTGCACTCTATCCTCAGGTTACAGGAGCAAACCCTTCCAGAATTTCTCTACTTTTTATAAGTCATACCTTGCACTTAAAGGGGAGCCTTGCTCTTAGACTTGCTCCATGTGGTTCTAAGTATTAGCATTCATGGGGGTGTCTTTCCACCAAGTCAGTAGTGTACTAGGATCTCTCTAACTTACCCAGGTTGCAATGAAATAATGAGGCATGAGCAACCACTTGGTCTGTGTTCAGCTTCGGCTGAAATGTCGGTAGGGCTTTTGTGTTAAGGGTAACAAATGGTCCGTGTTCCTCCTGGGACTAGTTGTGCTTTTGGCAAGAGGTAGCTGGAGTACCAAACTAGCTTTTAAACAATGGGTTTGATGAAATGTATCTTCTTCACAGTTTGAATCAGCAGTGATAGTAAAACTTGCTTTGTATTTGTGTCCCTGCTCCTTAGCCATTTAATGAGAATGTGTTATTTGAAGTTGAACTTCCATGTGGATGATGTTTCATTAGACAACAAGGTTAATTTGGTGACTGTCCAAGATGCAAGAGCTTTTTCTAGGCTTGGGGGAAGAAAGTGGGAAGAGAGGAATGGAAGGAGCTATATTATGTATGTGTACATGGATTTGGAAATGTACTTGTAGGATCATTAAAGAAATTAAGCAAGCTGTAAATCAGTGGCACAAACAATAGGTATTGTTTCCTTATAAGTCTAGAATATGGTGTCCTTTTAAAAAGCAAAATTTGAGGCCTGAAGCTTAGTTTGGAGGCACATGTTTTACCAGCATATGTGGTGTTTGCACTTGCGATAGTAATGCATTTGTACACTGTGGCTGTGAGGCATATGTCTGTATACATTGTGTCTGCACTTCTAGTCTGGAACTTTTCATAAGATAATTTTCTGTGAAAAGAGAGGATTTATTTTAAGTAGACTTCTTTCTTGCTCCTTCTGTTCTTGGAATTAGAGGCTCTCTGACACTTTAGTTACTGGGAGTATTAGCAACTTTGGGATTTGTGTGAAGGAACTGGAGGAGAATCTTTGCTTTTTGTGGTAAGACCAAGAACTAAGTATTTAAGGCTTTCTCTATGGGATAGTTAAGGTGTTTTATTAAAGCTGAAACAGCTTTAATCTGAAGTCTAGTAGATAGTAATTTCTATGCTATAGGAGAACTTGTGGAATGAAGCTGCTATGCAAGAAGTTTGAAAATTACTTGGGGTTTGTTTCTCCATAAATCACCTTTGTTAAACTTCAGGAGGTGACTTCTGATGGATGGAAAACACGATAATGGATCATGAATATTTTACAGAATTTCTGGGATCTTTTATCTAATTGATTAAAAGATCAGAATTTGAAACAAACTTGAGTCAATGTGAACAGATGTTACAGCAGTGTACAGCACAAGTGTAGATCCTAGCCAATAAGGGCCTCAAGCTTCTAAAACAGCAAAGAAAAAAATGGTACTTTTCATTGGCAGTCTGCTTTCCCTAAAGTTTCTATAATTAAAAAAGTATGAAATATTAATAAACGTGTTCCTAATAAGCTTCTACAAGCTGAATGATGACAGCATTAAGGAATTTTTGTAGATATTTCTGATGATAATACATATGCACCAGATATGTTTCTTAGAAAGGCAGTTTGCCAAAGTGGTGCATGCTCAGGGAACTCATCTGGAGGTCTTTGTCTAGTGGTCTCCCAGGATCTGATAAAGAAATATAATGGTCACAAAAATAATAATGAAAATCCTGGGATCTGATAAAAAATGTTGGTCACAAAAATTATAATGAAAATCCATTCCATTTTTCTCTACATCTTCCACATTCATTTGTATGCCACCCATCCATTTTTTTCATTGCTTATTCATTCAAAAATTCTGTCTTAGCTAGAACATGGACCCTCCCCCCCGCCCCCCAAATTCTTCAATATCCAATTCTTGGTAGCCTTTGAATGGTACTGAGTCTGGAAATGATTTCTAGCTTGTGTTTTGACATGCCTTTCAAAGGGAACTCATGACATGTATGTGTACTGAGCACTTTGTTATTGGTCTAGAATTCTGTATATCTTTGATTTTTTTTTTTAACAGATAGTTTTATTTCCTTCTAGCCTCCTTCTATGTCCCTACCTAACTGTGTTTAGAACACATGTAAAGGTAAAACTTAATGCCTGTATTTCCAGTTATCATACCATGGCATCCTGCTCTTAAAGCATCATCAATGGAAGAAGAAGCCGGTAGGCTGATCTGTCTCATGTTGAGGGGCATGTGGGTTGCAAAGAATTTCTGTCTTGGTTGTTTTGGAAGACTGAAAATGGAGCTCAGTACTTTTCCAGATCGCTCTGCTTTGTTCGGGTTGTCATAGTGGAATTTGGCCAAAAGGACTGGTTGGCCAAAAGGACAGCTAGAAACCTATCCCAACCAGATCATTCCAGGCAGAAATAATTTTAACTGCCTGCTGTAGAAACCATAGGGCCTTTTAAGCTGATTCTCTTTTTTTTTTCTTCCTCCTTCAGACACAGGTGCAAGGCCAGTCAGCCTCAAGCAGTACATCTGTGCCATCCCAGCCTACCCAACACACTCAGCAGGTAAGATCACAGTCCCTAAACCCAGGACTAAAATACTTTCAATATGGGATTTTGATGTCTCCTTAAGAGCAACTGACTGCCTCTTGTCCTCCCTGCTGCAGCCCATAGTTTTGGACAAAAGCAAAGGAATCCTTTGGTTCTCACCCAGTCTAACATGCTGTGAGATTAACTTCATTGACTTTCTAGAACTTATTTTTAGAATCATGTCAATGCTTGTTTTCATGTGTCTCTCTTTCCCAACTTCCACTGAGCTTGCAGTGGAGTCCCATTCAAGGGGAGGCATGTCAGTATTTGCAAGTTAGACTGTCTAGACAGGCAGACTTTGTTCTCATGATTTCTTCTAACTGGAAATAACTATCTTCTGCAACATCCTCTTCTCTTAACTGCCTTTTCTCCTTTATAGAATCTTCATTCTTGTTTTCACAGGTGAAATAATTCTATTGTAAGATTTGGTGCTGATAATGGAGTTGTATTAGTAATGCTAATAAGTAATTGCTAAGCTTAGTTGACTCCTCATATTCAGAAGAACCACTGATGTCACTGATGAGAGAGTAAAATGTGGAATTTAGGTAGGATATGCTTTGAAAACTTCTGTGCGGGGAAAAAAATAGCTTCTGCCTCTTTTCCATACTACAGAATGCACAGCAGCCAGCCTCTTCCCAACAGCCTGGACAGTACCAGCTGCAGCAGCCATCAGTTTCTGCTGGCGCCACTGCCACACAAACTGTCTCTCAAACTCAAACTTCACAGATTATGCCAATGCCTCAGGCAGCAGCTGGAACACAGGTAAACAAAATTCTTCTTTCTAGCAGAAGATTTTTTTCTTCTTCACAGCTGGCAAATTCAACATGCTGCTCCTTTTCACTTTTGTCACCTTTTCTAATGGTTCCAAAACATTCATCTAGATAATAGCATTTGTAGTGTACTACAACTGTCAATTTTGTTGGAAAATGTGTTGAAAGCCTTTCTTTCACATGTGGCAGTCATGAGTAATTTGAGGGAGGGATAGCACTTCCATGCACAAAGATTTTTAAATTGTCAAAAATATCATGAGGCATATTGATGAATGGTATATTATGAATGGATTTTCAGGAACTTGTCATTTCTCTGCTTCCCATCAATGTCTATCTTCTGCACCATTATGTGTGTAAAACATGTTCACTTATTTAAGCAGTGAACCATATAAGGACTGCCTTCTCCACTCTGTCATCTTTCTTATTCAGCTCTTCTCCTTTACTCCCTCGTCAAGAAGCTTCTGTTACTGAGTATTACTTCATTTTGGCTCATATCTCTATCTTGAACATGTGAGCCTTTATTTTGTTTTTAAAATTGTTTTGTTGCTTGTTCATCTAAACTGCCTTTCCAGTTGCATCGTTCGCTGGCTTTAATTGACATATCCCCTGCCATTCTCTGAATGCTGGCACAGTGGCTTTTCATTCTCCGTTGCTTTAGTCCCCATACCCAAAGCTGACAGATCTGTTGAAAGATTTGCACTTCTTTCCTGTAAGAAGGCAGGCTTGGCTCTGGGGACAGAGTTGAGGGGAATTTGGTTCTGTTTATGCATAAGTCAGTGCTTCAGGGTATTCAAATGTTGCTCTTTCACCCTCTGTGGGTGTCTGTTTCAAGAGCCCGTTGAATTCTTCAGGGGAAGTGTTGCAAAGTGAGGACCTTTTGGAACTCCAGCCAGCTTCCCAGCCACTCTGCCAACTGTGCTCCCCACCCACTTTAACAGAGTGCTGTAACTTGAATAATTCTTTCTTTGACTAATGCATAAAAATTCTGCTTTCTGCAACCCTGCTTTAAAAAAAAAAAATCTATCTATTTTCTTTACCTCCCCAGCTTCCTGTTTCCCAACCAGTGTCGATCATCCAAGGCGAGCCTCAATTACCTGTTGCAGCACCTTCTCTCCCTCAGCCTTCAGTTGCCCCATCAGTCCCCATTGGCTCTCATTTTCTACCCATGGGACAGCCCTTGCCAACTTCCATGGTTCCCCAGTTCTCAGTCTCTCAGTTGCCTGTAGCAGCTCCTCATGTATCAGTGGCTCAGCCAGGTTTCCAGTCACTGCCCATTTCAATGGCAGCTGGCATGAATCAGCCATTGCTCACACTGGCAACGTCTGCTGCGGCAACCACTGTCCCTGTAGGATCAACAGTTGTCCCTAGCCAGCTTCCCACACTGATGCAGCCGGTGGCTCAGTTGCCCAGCCAGGTTCTCCCGCAGCTCCTGCAGCCGGCTGTCCAGTCCGTGGGATTGCCAGTCAGCATTGGACAAGCTGCTGAAGCTTCACTTCCTGCTGGAGATGCTCTTTACCAGGTATTGTTGCAAGCCAGCAGAGCTCTTCTCCACATTTTTACTTGTTCCTCTAAGGCACCAGATCTGAACTGTGTGCCCTGGCCAACTCACTTCTCATAAGAGAGCCATTAAGCCACGAAGATGAATTCTGTTATGTGGCTAAGGACTGTTTTAAGGAGGGGAAAAAAAAAGAAGTCCTTGGACGCCCTGGTGTTTTGAGTTTTTCATATTTGGCAATGGAATTTGTCTAAAATGACAAAATCATAGTGCAGGACTTTGCTCAGTGACTGTGTGAAAGAGGACAGCTATACATCCAAGAGATTTGTCAGCTTGGGAAAAAAAAAATGTCCAAAAAATTGTGATTTTAAAAATGGGAGATGTGTGTTGGAAAGAAAATCAATGGCAGCATATTCAGCAATGTCACTATTTCATGCCAAGCCTGGGAGGGGAGGTGGGGAGGGGGGACACGGACTTTCTAGAAATAAGTCAGACGGCATGGAACTGGAACGCGGTGTAAGTACCTGATGCTAGTCATGAAATGCTAGACTGTTGGGCACAGACTGCTTCAGCTACTTTGTGTGGTCACTGTAAAAATGGCAATCTGAATGGCGACAAAAATAGTGACTCAGCATATGATTGTTCTTCTAGAAAAAAAAATAATTGTATAGATGTAGAAATACCTGCAATGGGATTATGAGGAGTGCTGTAGAACAGAAACAGTGTGCAGGAATGTTCCTTGGTTCCTGGGTCAGCTAATCACGAGAGGACAGGAAGAACACAAGAGCATTTTTGCTATTAGTCTCAAGAAACAGCAGCAGTTGCATAACATCATCTAAGCAATAGCTGTTCAGCCTTAAAATTCTTCAGAGTAATTTCAAGTCTCAGGCCTTAAAATATTAAGCCAAATAGGCAACTTGAAAGAGTTGGGACATGAAGATTGTTTTGCCTAAGACTTGGAATTTTGAGTGGGAATTTGCTCGCTCAAGCTTGGTGACTTGCAAGCTGAGCTTTGGATAGCCAAAGCTATCCAAACAGTGAACAGTTTGCTTCTCTGGGAAGATAGTCTGTGGGAGTGCTTGAACAAGTACAGAAGTCTGGAGCATGCCCCTAAAACTGATACTTTTTAAACTGTCGTTTCCTAATTCGCTCTGACATTCACTAACTTGACTCCCTCATTTTTGTTACAGGGCTTCCCATCTCGGCTGCCACCTCAATACCCAGGCGACTCGAATGTTGCACCTTCATCTGCTGTGGCCTCTGTTAGCATTCCTTCTGCCGTACTGTCCCCTCCCTTACCCACAGATGCAATGGCTCAGCCGGGCTATCTTGCTCCTGTTGTGCAGCCGTATGTGGAGCAGAACGTTTTAGTTCCCATGGGCAGCCTCGGAGGACAGGTTCAAGTGCCCCAGCCTACAGTGAGTTTAGCGCAACAGGCCTCATCTGCCTCCTCACAGCAGGCAGTTTTGGAGGTAAATATGTTGAATATAATGTAACAATACATTTAGGGCGTTTGAATTATGCAGCAGTGTATGTGTGTGGGGAACTAATCCCTTCCATGCTTGTTTTCAGTTGGAAATTAATATTTCAAATGACCTTTTTCTTACAGCAGAATGTCATGCCAATGTGGGGACCTTGTTGCCACTGGCTGTTCTGTTGGGAAGTGAGTGTGCATCCTGCAGGCAAAAACCTGTTAACACTTCACTTCTTGCTAGTACTGTAGAACATTTTTGCCATATCAAAGACAAACTGCGACTGATAATCGCCTTTGAGAATCTGTCGTTATGCTTATTCCCTGCAGCATTGTTCTTGTTAGGGAGAATTTGAATTATCTTTGTGTTCTGCATTGGCTTGCCTTTTGCATATTCTGTTAGTAAGACTTTGGCTGCATGGCAAACTGTAGTGACACATAGCAGTAGAAAGGATGGCTGATTTCCTCTCCCCACCCCTCCCCAATTGATGATTTGCTTCACTGCAGTTTGCCCTAGAATCTCTTGTAAATTAGAGCTCTCTAGATGCCAGCTGTTCAGAGTTCTTAAAAGGTAGTGCTTTTAGCTTTACAACTGATTTGGGAGGAAATCTTGAAGACTACCAGGTTACTTGAAAAGGAACGGTGTTCTGTGGGGGGGTTCTTGATGTAGGTTTCTATCTGTAGGGTACTCAGGGAGTCTCACAGACTGCTCCTTCAGAGACTCTTCCAGCAACACAGCCTGCTCAGTCTACCCCTTTGGCTTCCTCTATGGATAGGTAAGCATTGTTCTCTTTTCACCAAACTGAATTTTAATTTCGTGTGTTAGATTATTCTTCCTTGGGTGATCTTCAGGTGTCTCTCTTTGCTCCGGGGAATTTTTTTTTTCACTGAGGGTGTTCTTGTGGATGTGAGGAAATAAATTTCCTAGAAGGAAAATAGGCTTTTGAGAGTTGGACTAAGTTTTGATTTACAGCAGGGTATGGAGGGAGTAAATAGGATTGTCTATAGTGGTTTAAATTCTAACCCTTTTTTAATTTGTCATGTCAAATGGATCATAAGGGATATTTTTCTGTCCTTTTGGCACTTAATTAGAACTAAAACTCCACATAGCTTGAAAACCTATTCAGGAGATATTTGTACAACTCCATTTGCAAGGGATAGGTAGCTACATAATTACTGTTAGAATTGCTATTCAAGCAACCTGAAGTGTTGACAAGACTCTTTTCCCCTACTCCATGATTAACACGCATCTACTGCTATCCAGAAGAGAATAATACCATCTGGTAGGGTAAACTGTTGCAGTTATGGAGTGCATGCATACTAATGTAAAGTTGTTTGCTTTTTTTTTTAGTGCACATTCTGATGTTGCTTCAGGATTGAGTGATGGCAACGAGAATGTTCCAGCTTCTAGTGGAAGACATGAAGGGAGGACTACTAAACGTCATATGCGGAGGTCTGTCCGCAGTCGCTCTCGTCATGAGAAGACTGCTAGGCCAAAACTGAGAATTCTAAATGTGAGTATTTTTCTATTTTGGTGACAGTTTGGCAGTGAAAATGCCTCTTTTGAGCTTCAAAAGTTTCTTTTCTTTTGAGGAATGTGTCTTATGTGGTCTTGTTTCCCCCACCCTCCCTCTTCTGAGCACATAAGCTATCCAGTGTATTTCTTCTGGAGTCAGTGTTCCAAATGTCATCTATTAAGAGCTTTTTGGAGCATTAGATAGGGCAAAATTGGCTTGCTTCACCATGAGTGATTCCACAGACTATTCTAGAATATTTGATTTAGTCTTACTAGTAAAGCTAGGCCAATGATGTGACCGGTAAGCTAGAAAGAAACAAGGGAACATCAGGAGTTTTAGAAAAAAGTAAGGACAAGGTGAGGTTGGAGCTTGCATGAGTAATTGGCAGATCCTCAGTCAAAATGATGCTGTACATGGCACCATTTATTAGACTGGAAAGAGAGAATGTGTTTGTATTAGAGCATTACTGTTGGGTTGTCTCTGCGAGCTTTAAAGCACAAGTCTTTTATTCTCATGCTTTTGGTTTGAATTACTGTTTTCTTTGCTTTAGGTTTCAAATAAAGGTGATCGGGTAGTGGAATGCCAGCTGGAGACACACAATCGGAAAATGGTTACTTTCAAATTTGATTTGGATGGTGACAACCCTGAGGAAATAGCTTCAATTATGGTAAGATAATTTTTAGAGATGAAGAACTGAATCCAGTCTTAATTGCAGTCTTAATAAGCAGCCCTATTTTCTCAGTTGTGTTTTAGAATTGCCCTTCCATGTAGTATGGCCTGTGCTCACATCAGTTGTGCAAGCACAACTAGAGACTCTGGGCACAGAGTGGTATACCAAGATGAGAGTTAATATTGCATGCTCCGTTCACATGAAAATTTGCATCAGTTTTTACCTTAGAATTGAGATTTTATCAAGTACATCTGCTTTTGGGTTTGCTTTTTTTTTTTTTGCACCTAGTTATTTTAAAAACTGCAAACAACTTTTTGAAGGCACCAGGTTAAACAAATTGGCTTGCTTCACCATGAGTGATTCCACAGACTATTCTAGAATATTTGATTTAGTCTTACTAAACATTGCTAGATTTTTATAACTTAAGCTTTGAGGTTTTTGCTGTTGTTCTCAACTGAAATAGCAAAATTCTGTCCCTAAAGTAAGGAATGGGAGTCACTTTCTGGTTTCTGAAAGTTAGTAATGACTGATGCTGCTTTTGACTTTCTCAAAGGAAAAAACTTCTCCATTCAGTGTGTAATGGTCAAGCATAGAAGAGAACTTGCCCTGTAGTGATGTTTAAATGAGTACTGTGTGGCACAGAATAGAACCTCCCCCGTTATTTTTTTCTAAATGTAAAGTCTTATTCCTGGGCTGGTACAATCTGAATGAAACTGAGATGTTTTTCAGTGTTACTGAAGCAAGGGGGGGTGACAAAAAGCATTATCTTCTTTTAGCTTAGAGTGGTGTCAGAATAATAAGTGGTGTGTGCTGGGTTCATACCTGTCAAAAAGAACCAAGTCAGTGACATGGGAAAGATGATCTCTTTGCCACTAATGACTTTCCAAGAAAGAGGAAGAAATTGGTTCTCAGCTATGTATGTGCATTGGCAGTGTAAACAAGTCAATAACATGAAGTTAAGTGCCAAGAAACAGGACAGATGTCTTCGCCTCATACCTAAAGTGGTCCTGTGGAGGAATAAAAGTATGGTTGATTTTAAAAACAAAAACAAACAAAAAACCAACCCTCCCCCCCCCCCCAAACCAAAACCCAACGAAAAGCCAAAACCAAACAAAACCCCCTCTAAATAACGAAACCTGCAGATATTTGAAGATGAGTAAAAGCAAAATAAGTGAACTGTGCATCCAAAATGCAGTCACATAGTTGAAAGCGTGCAACCAAATTTAAACAACTGAATCCAGAACTTCAAATCTGGAACTCATCAGTTTCTTGTTGAATGTTGAGGAAACTTTTGATTGTAAGACTTTCTGGTTTCCTTTTAGTCAGGATACTATTAGGCATACCCCATATGGGTATCTGTCATTGCTTAACTTAAAGTACTGAAGGTTTCTTTAACTAGCAAGTATTCAGCATTGCAAAGGCTGATCTAAGGACATCATGCTTGTCTTTCCTTTTTCTGAACCAGCATCCCAGAAACTTGATGTAAAAACAATGTCTCAAGCTTTACCTTTAAGGCACTTACTCTGTCTTTTCCAGCAGAGACAGTGTGACTGACAGCTCTACTTCTGTTTCATAGACTCATTGTCTAGGGGTATTACCATGCGTTATTTCAGGAGACAGAATTTTCTCACGGGTCAGACCAAACTAAGAATGTCTTTCTAAATGCCAAGTATGCTTGTTTAAGCTTGTTCCCTCCAACATAAGTAGCAGAATATATTTTTATAAAGTAATACAATGTA